ATACATGTCTATTGACAGTCAATAGGCATGTATCAACCAAAAATGTGATTGTATATTAGCCTGCAAGATATTGTCAAAGTCTGTCAGTATGTGGGGCATTGTTGAATCTAGCCTTCGCTTTTGTCTGCAGGGTTCAACAGTTTTTGTTGTGCATGCATGTGTGTGTGTGTGTGTGTGTGTGTGTGTGTGTGAAGTCTTTGTGTATTTTTCAGGTCAGTTGAGTTGTCTGTGAGTCCTGTGTTTTCTGCCTGCTGGTTTCTTGTGATTGAGGCACTCAGCTCCCTATAGGCTTTATCTGTCTGTCTTTGTTTGTCTGTCTCTCAAAAGCAGACGCACACATGCAAACAGACACACACACACACACTTACACACTTACACACTGGGGGGCGGAGGAGCGTTTTTTTTTTTAGGGCAGATAGATAATCAATGAGCTAAATAACTGCTGGTATTTGGAACCAATAAACCCTAACCCTATCCCAATAAATAGTAATAAGAGTAATATAATATTGGCATTAAACATTTTTTTAATGCTGTGGCGACACAACAATAACACACTGCCCACATGTCTGGTGTGGCCACTTCTATTGATTATGGTGGAAGCATAGTGTTGCAGCAGCCACTTTGTGAAGGGTCTGCATACATTATGTGTTCAGTAAAGCCGCGGGGTAACTACAGCAATCGAAACCAAGTGCCTAATCTTGCTTGGGCTGCACCTCATGATCATTCTGCTATAGAGGAAACCACTCTGGCTTGTTTGTATGTCTTTAAATCAATTACAATCGTAATTGGCAGTGTTAAGTCCACAATGCAGCAATGGTGTCCCTTCAAAATAAAGACAGGGTGAATGGTTTCGGTGGCACGTTTGAAGGCACTGTCCTTAAAATGGTTAATTCACTGAAAAGCCAGCAGTTGTTTGCAAAACTTAATATTTTCAGTGTGGTTTAGGTTGCTGCCCTGGGGTTGTTGTTTCCTGTAGTGAAGCGTATTTTGAAAATGTTTACACAAAGAGAGCATTAAGGGTGGCGAAAGAAGCATGGATAGACAGGCCTATACCTGCAATCTACATCCAGTGAGTCAGACTACTAAATGTGCAATCCCCAATCCTCATCCCCTTTATGCTTTCCGTGTCCGTGTGCGCAGGCTGATAAACCAACGAGCCCATAATTCAGTTCAAATAACAATAGGGCAGGTCAGTGTGTGGCGCCTCATATCGAACACAGATTATATCAGGAGCCAGTTTTTTCAAGATGTAGCAGCTACGTAAAAATGGGAGAGTATCAGTGGGCAGATACAGCACAGGATATCTGGAGAATTTAGAATTTGATGGAAAGCATTCGCAAATCAAATTCTGGCAGCAAAGACTTCAATTACAATTCTTGTAATGATGAATTATAAAGGTGTGGTTTAGTGATAGACTGATTTTTGTCCTGACCGATTATCGTGGCCGATATTTGGTATTTTTCCGATTTCCAATCTGTGTTATTATTGACCGATTATCAATAAATTAAATGCGCTACTTCAGGTCGGACTCCTCTCACTATCTGTCGTCACTCTGTGGTCTCATAAATTCTCTCAAGCAAAGAGAACAAAACAGGAAACACAAGCCGCTGCCACAAACCAGCAAATTAGCTCCACTCACAGTGGCGAAGGCTAACGGCCAGCAGCTAAGTTAGAAGGTAGCAATAAATTACCCGTACACCGAATCTAGAAAAACAAAACTAATGAAGCTTTAAGAAATGGACCTTAGCAGGCAATAAAAGTGATAAAACATTGAAAGATTAAGACAGAGGAGAGCATTCTAATTTAATCACTCATATTTCTATTGTACATATTTAGGTATGGGGCTGCAAGGTGGATCGGTGGTTAGCACTGTTGCCTCGCAGCAAGAAGGTTGCTGGTTCACATCCTGGTGAGGATACCCGTGATCTTTCTGTGTGGAGTTTGCATGTTCTCCCTGTGCATTGTGGGTTCTCTCTGGGTTCTCCGGCTTCCTCCCACACAGTCCAAAAACATGTTGAGGTTAATTGGTGATTCTAAATTGTCCGTAGGTGTGAATGTGAGTGTGCTTGGTTGTCTGTCTCTAAGTGTGGCCCTGTGATAGACTGGTGACCTGTCCAGGGTGTCCCCTGCCTTCGTCCTGAGTCAGCTGGGATAGACTCCAGCCCCCCATGACCCTACAGAGGATTAAGCGGTGTGTAGATAATAGATGGATGGATATTCAGGTGTAGTCACTCTTATTAATAAGAAGCCAAGGTTCTCTGCTATCACATGCTGTTAAAACATTACACCTAATGCATTTTGCCTATGTCTTTCCTAATTACCAGTAAATAAATATATGCATGCATACATACATACATCGGTCGATCCCGAGTGTCTCTCCTTATATCAAACATTTGTTTTAGTCACTGTTTGCTTTCCTTGCACATGTGCAGTCGATATGCTTTCACCAGGAAAAGGAACCTTAACCCTAAAACCAAGCCTAAATCCTTTGAAATCCTGGCTGCAAAATCCTCAGTTTACCAGAATGCTCTCCCTCTATTGGTCTAAAACTCAAACTAGCCCTCACAAAGACAGACTCCACACACACGAACACACTCACTACTGATGCAGCAGTTTTATCCCTAAGGCTGGTAACAAGTTTTTACTGTACCATTGTTACCTCGCTCTCATCTCCTCTGTTTCACTCGCTCTCGCTGCCTCTCTCGCTCTCTACCGGGTTACTTGAGGCCAGCTGGTTCCACTGCAGAGATGAGTTTGCTTACTGCAGCACAGAACGCCGCAGAACAGTCTAATGTATTCCGCTTCCAATGGGAGCTGATAGGACGCGCACAGAGAGAAATGTGTGATTGTGTTTTTTATGTACAGTGTGTGTTTATGAGAGTTCAGCGCTTTGGACAGAACCCAGAGAGGATTACTGCGAGGCAATTGTTTGGCTTCCAGTCGCTCTGCGGGCCGATGGTCTTATGACTTCATGCCGTAACATTAAACGCATGCATACACACATATTTCATTGCTCAGTGAATACCTGTTGCTGTGTTCGAGTTGTTAGCTTCAGTGAGGTGAAGTTGTTTAATGTGGCAACAGTCCTGAAAAAAGTTCCTGATTTTTGACTCTGGAAGTTTCACCTGACTACTGAACTCCGTCTATTCTGTCTTGTCTCTTGCAACTGATTTCTTGTTCTTGCAGCTGCTGCTTTCCCTGTGGCATTAAAACTTGTATTTATTTTTTCATCATGAATAATGCAAAATGATGCGGCTGTGTTTGAGTTTAGGTTGTTTGCGCACAAGTTAAAATCAAAGGGCATGAAAATAGCATGCACCGCCTAAGAAGGGCTTGTTTATGCAGGATTCGTGTTCCCAAAAATACAGTTATGCAAAAAAGAAAAATGGTAAGAGTGAAACCATAAGGATTTTAATTAAATGGGGGGAAAAAAGGGCTCAAGGATGAAAAGAGTTTGTAGATGAGGCACAAAAGGAGTGAATTTGTGAATGAGTTTAGAGATAAAAAATGAAAATGACCCGTATAGTCACTTGTTTTGGAATCATCCTTGTTTTATTTGACAAACCTCCACTTCACTTGTTTAAAACATCCTTTGGCTATCAATATTCAGCTCGCCAGGGAGGAAATAACACATTCTTGAGATTTTTGTGGTTTTTGAGTCCACTGCTCCATGCTGAAGTGCAGACCAGTAGAAATGCTTCTTATGGCAGAAGGCCGTGTGTTCATGATTCTGTCCTGCTGAGGTCTCTGAGTCAGTCTGCACATGACGTTCTGTCTTTCTCATATCTTTAACGGGAAAGACCGTTTCATCTGATATACATACTGGAACTAGAATACGACTACCATGTGCTCAACGTTACATATTACTATTAATAATCTGACTTTTTAACCCACTGAGACTCACCAGTTACTGATAGTGATGCAAATATAGCGACAGGTTTCCCTAAGCAGAATCCTCCTAATTATTTTCCTTCATTACAGTGAAGAGAAATCAGCTTCTTATCCACAGTTTACCAGCAGAGTGAATGGCAGTGACGCAGAGTGTGAGTTAGTGTGTGTTCAGTCTGTGTGAAGATTATTTATAAGTCTGATAGGAGGACACAGACTGTCCCGGCAGCAGACAGCAGAGGGTCACTGCAGTTCAGCTTCACTTCTCTCCAAGTTTGTTGCTTATTTGCTAAATATTCTCTTTAATGTTAGTTTTGTACTTCTTTTTTTTTTTTTTTTACAAGGGGCTGCACAATTGATTGAATTTTCTCAGTCACGATTCTATAAAATGAAATACGATGGACAGTGATGTTATTGTTATAAATGAGTGCTTTGCTCATAAAAACTGTCAAGTAAAGTGCTTCCTAAATGAACAACAATCCACAAGGGAATGATTTAGATGTTTTGGCTTCACTCTTGAGGAGCTGTCATGGTGCTGTGTGCATGAAGCCCTGCAGTGGCAGCCTGCGGAAAACTTTCCTGGATGTTGCAGCTGCATTCCAGGAATAATAGTGGGCAAAATGAAAATCAGTTGTCTGGAGCAGACGGTAAAGAGCTAATATCTCGTAACAGGTCATACTTTAAGAACAAGTCGTATGCAAAGAGTGCAGGAGAGTTGTGTCTTAATTTCATTTTAGGCAAAACGTTTTGGTACAATTTAATTTTTATTTTTCTTCTCAGAGATACACTGTGAATGAGGAGTGGTCTGATTTTAAAGTAAAATGTGTAGAATAGCAGGATTGTAGCACAATGTGGGAGAGAAAATAGTGCTCCATTTAAATGCCCTGTCTTTACATTTCTGTCAGGCTTCAGAGTTTTCTTTTTCCAGTCATGGGAAGTGAAGGAATTGGTGAAATGTTCAGTTTTATATGCAGTGAATGAAAGCAGAGGTGTTCAGCAGGATGTGTTTTGCAATGAATATTGATGAGTCCTGTTATGGGCTGCAGTTGGGACGATGAACCTAATTGTTTTATTGTATGTGGAGTCATAATTTGTATATTTGTGTTTTGCAGGTCAATGTGCGCGTCACCACCATGCACGCCGAGCTGGAGTTTTCCATCCTGCCCAGCACGATGGGAAAACAGCTCTTCGACCAGGTAAGAGACACGTAAAATCCTATATACATGGTTAATTGAGGTAATTATAAAAACCTAAATTGTGAAGAGCAATGCTACTACAGCAGCTAGACGGGTTCCAAAATCTATCTTTTACTAGACTTGATTCAGGATTCAAAGTCCTACTCCACCTTGGCCAACCATGTGACCTGCTGGAAGAATCAGTTGTTTGTTCCCTCAATGAAATGAATGAAAACCAAAACTGAAACTGAGTGTGTGTGCCAGGAGGTGCTTGGCTGGGTTTGGGTTGGTTCTGTACAGAGATGACGTTCAAAGCTGTCTTTGTCCCAACAGGGAGCTTCAAGGAGGCAGTGAGTGGATGGATGTGTTGGTTGGATACATGTGTGTGTGTCCAGATTGTCTGGAAAGTAAAAGGGCAGCTTTCAGGGTTGTTTCATGTCAGGGTATAAAGGGTTGTTGGGGTTGTGGAGGTGTGGAAGCAGGAATGCAGAATGCAAGAGAGATTCTTTTGTTTTCTGCTTTTGTTGTTGCTCTTTTGTGGTTCGTGGTGTGAGATAAAATCAAAGGAGGAGGCTGCATTCAAGCAGTCATACATCTGTCTGTAATGCATTCTGACATTTATGTAGTAGTTTGGTGTGTTTTTCTTCCTGCTGTGGATAGCTTTTGGAATTTGGCATCACATTTAAATATTTCAGCACAATTCCCAAACATATCTTTTCTTTGATACATAGACTTTTCATGTAAATTCTCACATCTTGGTATACTTCTCTTGTCCACGAGTTTGCAAGGGGCTGATAGGGTTCATGAGGTGCAACTAATGCACAAGGGCAGTAGTTTGCATGCACAGAATATGTAGATGTGACTTTTTCAGAATACAAAATAATATAACAAGAATTAAACATCCATGGTGTCTGCAGCCCTGTATGTGCACATCTTGGGAGTATAATTAAAGGCCAGTTCATAGTTTCCACATGGCCAATACGGACTTCTGAGTGGTTCTCTTCATAGTAGTGAGGTGTCGTTGTGCTACCCAGGCGGTTGCATTGCCCCTCATATCGAACACAGAAGCTGCCTGTGACTTTGCTTTTTCACAGGTTCAAGCAGTTACATATTGGAAAGTAGCACTGTGTCAGTGTGATTATTATAAAGGTGAGCAGAGTGCACAAGATATCTGGAGAAACTTCTACTGCGCCTATGAGAAGCATGTACAAATTCAAGCACCTCCAAAGTCCTGTAGCGACTACCTCAATTCCAACTCTTTTGAAGATAAATGATAAGTCTTGCATGATGGAGAATCTACTCGCACAGCCATTCCTCATAGAAAGCATGTATTTTAAGGACTGCTTGGTTTCTTGTTTTCCTGGCATTGGTTTAATCACTCACAAATTTTGGGCTGCACATCCACATGGACCCTCACCCTTGCTGCCACGGAAAGCTTGAATTTTCCTTGAAGTACCACTGTGTCTAAAACCTGCCTCACAGATCCACCAGCATTGAGTCTTGCTTACCTACTGGTAGTTTTATTACTCAAAAGAAATATTCGTGTCTTGCTGATGCCCACAGTCTTTACCTAATGTGACAGTAAAAAAGTAAGCGTAATCATGTGGTGATGCAAAAGACATTCTTGCCATTGACCGGCTCAAACTGTGCTAATAGTATAGATAATAAAGGTATATATATACAGAAAGAGTAACTTCCCAAATTCCTATCAAGCAGCTGTGTGTGTTTCTTTGTGAATTCTGTCCTGGAATAAGACCCGGGTTGAACCTTCTCATGCTCGACTGCTGCTTTCCCATCAGCTCACCACACTCACTCACACAGTGGTGTAAAGACACGATTATTTTCTCTTTCTCACACCCTCTCACACACAAACACACCCATGTTATTCTATACCAGGGACATGTGCTGACCTCTTCTTCACCTCAGGTCTAGATTTTCGTTCTCGGCTCCAGTTTGAGCTGTTGTATTTGCAGGACAACAAAAATATTTTTCTTGTCAAAGAGCCAATAAAGATTGAGTGATAGAAAAACACAAGCGATATGTGGAACAGCAGAACAACAACATGTGTGCAGGTGCATTGAGGCGGTTGTGGTCAGAACTAGTGTCTGCCAAAGAAATGGTTTCTGTGGTGTTCCTCTGCAGATGGTTCTGACCAATCAGGATGCTTTTTCCAAAAATAAATGTTGTTGGTAAGTTTCAAAAAGTAATTTGCTATTCACCTCTGTTGCATGAGGTTGGAGGCAGGAAGGAAACCTTGGAAACATGTCAAGATATTTTTACTAATTTAGGTGAACTGGATTTTTTTTTAAAGATGTTTTGTCACTAATAAACCTGCACAGAGGAGAACTGGAGTCTGAATATAGTCAAAATGCTGTGTCTTGGCTGTATTATAGTCCTGGCATACACACACATTCAGTCAGTAACACACTCAGCATCTCACTTCCATCTTTCTCTGGCTCTCACACATTTTCTGTCCTCTTCCGTTACTCGCTTCCCTATCTATGAAGCGCACACACAAACACACAGCAGCTGACTCACCAAATCTGAACGCCTCAGCTTGCTGTGCCTATGCATTGTCATGGCAACCAACTGTCAGATTCCCAGTGATGTGTGCACAAACTCCTGCTGCATAGTACAACTGGATCTGGCAGCGGATGGTTGTTTTATTGTACCTTTTTGGAAAAGAAAAAAAAAAAAAGAAATTAAATGTGGTTGTGAATTTTGCCACTGAGACTTGAATTAAATGAGCAGAGCAAAAGACAAATACAAATAATTGAAAATAAAGCAAATGTCATTTACAAAAATACAAGGGTTGGGTGTTGAGACAGTTATAAAAAAAATCTTCACCATTTTCCAGTTCTCAATATGCATATTTTTTTCTTTAAAAAAATGACTTTATGAATATCTATAAAATAAGGATTATTTTCTAATTAAATACAGTAAAAAAAAATATATTTTTATAGTCAAACATTGTAAATTAATTAACTATTGTAAAAATAAATTTTGGGGTTTTTTTTTACAGTTAATGTGTAAATTAGTCATGTTTTTCTGTGATTTTGCTCGTAAAAATCTGTAAAATAACTGTAAATTGTTCAAATAATTCTGCTTAAAAACTATAAACTGCAATAAATAATAATTTTTTAAAAATTCTGGTGTACAGGGTTGCCACTGAATGGAGATTTTTAGCTAATTTCTAACTAATTTCTCATTCATCAAGCAAAAATGGCAAATAAGTGCAGGTTTGAGCTTTTCATATATGATCAGACAAAGCAAACATTTTGATGATGTCACCGTAGAACATGATCTGGGACTCTTGTCCTTACATTAGAGCACAGAGCAGGTGAGAAAGCTTGAACGGAAGCTTTGAAAAGCTACACTGCAAATCACAATTGAGTAGTTGTTTAATCTCATATAGAAGTTGCGATACACCTCAGTGATGGATGATGTTGTATGATGTTATATTGCTTTACTGCTGCTGAACATGACGCTAACAATCAGCGGGCTGCTGTGGTCTTTTGTTGATTTATTGTAGGTCTGTTTTCTGTTTTATTTCCTCCCTTTGTCTCTGCTTCCCTCCTCATTAATTTCCCACATTAGTTTCACCTGAGTCTTGTCTCCACAATTAGTTCTCTCTGCATATGTATATATAATCCTGCATCTTCCCCAGTTATGTGTCAGTTTGTCCTGGTTGCTACCCTCCTGTTTGACTTCCTGTTCGCCTGCTTGTGTTCATAATCTGCCTGTGCTTTGTGCCTTTTGTGCTTCTTCTTTTCTTGCTTCAGTTTAAAGGCATGCTTTTGTTACTGTTTTGGATTTAGATTTTTCTTTTCTCACTGGATTAGTTTTCAGTTTTGCTGCCCACCTTTTGTCAAGTGGTTTCTGCTTGATTAAACTTTCTTTTTGTGTGTTTGCACTTGGATCCTTACCTGGATGCCCTCTGACACAGGCCAATAATCAGAGCTGACATGCACTTCTTTTCAGATTGTCTGTGTTGTTATTTTTTGCAACCGATTCCCTGTAAATGAAATTCTTTGAAATATGGAAAACTTTGGCTCAGATGCCACCGCCTCTCTCTGTCTGTAGTCACCACTCTGTTGTCTCAAGCCATATCTCAGCTACAGTGATGTCAAATAGGTTACGTGTAATAGCTAGTTAGCAGTGAATGATAAATGTTAAGAAGTATTTGTAAAACATAAATAAACAAAGGCAGTTAAATTCAACTGCAAACGTAAATTGGTTCTAAACATTGGTGATCAGTCTCATTGATTACTAATAATTGGTTTTGGTATCAGCACTGAAAAAACCTTTTGATGGACTCCTGCTTCAACAAGCCACATTTCATTGATCTACACATCATCTGTAGTCTCCCTGAGATCATGAATCTCCTCGGTAATGAGGATATATACAGACCAGGACATGTGACATGTCCAGAAGGGAATGTGGAGCTCTGTGATAATCTAAAGAAACAGCCCTCAGTTGGTCCTGACAGCTGTTTGATTTAAAATGGTCCAGATTCACATGAATGAATAGAGACCTCCATTGATAAAGAGGCTGCAGAGCTAAATATAAACTGCCATAAGCTCCTTCAAACACACACAGGATGATAAAAGGCCACAGCGAGATATGAAAGCTTCTTAATTAAACTCACACAAACATCTGAGTCTGTCTCTGAATGTGAACACTTTGAAGGCAATAATCACAAACACTTGTAAAATTTCCCAATATGAAAGTAAAAGGCGGTCCGGTTAGCTTGATTTTAGATCACCTTTTATGTTGCCGTCTTCCCTCTGTTCCTCTTAGTGTTCCTTTACTTTCATCCTGAAATTATTTATCCACATTTTGAGAGGTTTTCCTTCTAAAAAAAAACTGCATGCTGAGCTCTTGGCATTTAAATAGCTGTCTGCTCGGTGCACATTCCCACAGGATGCTCGCTGTGTGTGGGAGTGTGTGTTTGCAAATGTAATCGATTGCACAGTTTCCATTGCAACAATGTGTTTTGGATTCATGTTTCTGGGTGGTTTTAACGTTTTTTTTTATTGCCTGTGATTATTTGACACACATGGGTATTTAATTAGTTAGAGTGAGCATGTCTTTCTGTGCCTGTGCTTGAGAGGGAGTTAATTACATGCTAGAAGTAGCGTCATATTGACTGTGTAAATCACATTAGCATCGGACTGAGTGTCCACATCCCCTCTGGGACTCTCTCTCTCCTTCTGCAAATGGGACGGTAGTTTGTTAGAGTGAATTACAACCATGTTAGTGTGTTTGAAAGAGCAGGGAGGGAAGTCGAAGCTTCAAATCAAGGGAGCAAAGGGATGTCAGAACAGAGGAAAACTCATTTTAATGATCAATATTTGCTGTCAGTGAGATGATGCGCAGCTTTTATCTCAATTTGGGGTGAAGCTTGCGGTCTAAAATCCTGAAAGCACCGAATTGTGGTTTCCCTTAACAACAAGATGAATCCATATGTGTCAGTTTCACTTGTGGTTAAAGCCTGTGAAAGAGATGCTGATTGAAAGCACTAACAAAATACATGACTATAGATGGTGTTTGTAGAATAAAGGGTATTAGAAATGTGCAATGAGCAAAACTGGCCATGCAAACTCAATGACCAACTTTGCATCACCACCCAGTGCAGGTTTTGGGGACATTTGAAGGCATCAAACAAGGGGGGAAAAAACATGTTTTGTGGTTTCAGGTGGTGAAGACGGTGGGTCTGAGAGAGATCTGGTTCTTCGGCCTGCAGTACACAGACAGCAAAGGCTATGTGACGTGGCTCAAACTCAACAAGAAGGTGAGAAATTTCAACACAAACCATTAAAAAACACTGTAAATCTCATATCTACTACTCACCATGTCTTTAATTTATTCCTTTTTTTATCATTTGTGCATAGAAACTAATTCCCACTTCTAAAAGACATTCTAATTTGAATGTTATGACAGCCTGTAAACAGTAAACAGTAATCCCCCTGTGGTTTATCACGCTTTAAAGCCCCTCAAGGCAAACTTCCATGTATCATCTTACTTTAGTATTCTATTTGCTGAAAGCTTTAATCCAAAGTTCCTGGAAGCAACTTTAGCAAATGTTTACAGAATTAGCTCTTTAATCTTATTTTAAATGAGCACACGGTTTCATTTCCTCAAGAGGTTGTTGCATATTTGAGTACTCGTGAGGGCGGAAGATGAAATGTTGGGTGTTTTCCTCCAGGTGACGCAGCAGGATGTGAAGAAGGACAATCTGCTGCAGTTCAAGTTCAGAGCAAAGTTCTTTCCAGAGGATGTTTCTGAGGAGCTCATCCAGGAGATCACACAGAAACTCTTCTTCCTGCAGGTACTGAACAGGTCACAGTTATTTTGGTGGTAGGGATAAACAAAATGATGCAACATGATGTGATCCTGTATGGAAATTTAAGCTGCGGTGTTTACAGGTGTTGTCTAAGTGAGCAAGGAACATTTCTGGTCTTAGACGATAATTCCAGTTTATTTCAACCTGGCGTATTTGCCATTAATGTGATTATCACGGCTCATACTAACTTCAGCTCTGTTTGTAGAGATTCAAGAAACAAGAACACAAACAGCTTGTAGCGGGACGAAAAGCAGAAGCTCTCAACAGCTTTCCAAAATACATGATTTTTAAATTAATATTGTTTGCTATCTGCATTAGGAATCCTTCTAGGGATATTTGTTGCCTGACCTAATCCTCCTCCTGCTGTCATTCAGTCACCAAAATCAATAGTTAATAGCCTCGTGGATTGTTATTAGGATGGTCACATGTCCTTTTAGTTTCATGGATGACTTTTTATTCGACCTGGAGTACACAGATGCGACATAAATGATGTCGGACGGCTGCACTACGAAGCAAGTTTAACATAACCAGGCTTTGTTTGTGTAAGCCGGCTTAACAAAACCTAATTCCTCAGTCAGAGATGACGGGTGTCACAATGGAGATTTTCAGTTTTTATTTGTTCACCAGGTTTTTCTTCTTCAGAAGGGGGTGTTTAGTAGACTCTTCCTGTGCACAAAATGGACCAATCACCTGCTTTAGTCAAGAAGAACAGATTGTTACAAGAGGAAAGCTGTAAAGAATATAAAAAATATTACAGTAAAACACAACCCTGTTAATAAACCAAGAGAGGAACACTGGTTGCAAACTAATTGTGTTTGAGAATCATCAAGAAGATGCTTTTTACCGCTGATTTAAATTCGAAACTGATCAGCTATGCAGCATCAGTTACCATGGTGATCAAACAGGTTAAAAAAAAAGCCTCATTTATGACATTAAAAACTCTGACTTTAGGCTCAACATGCCTCACTAACCCATTAATCGTGCTTCATATTTGACCCCTGGAGGTGTTCCTGTACTCACTGCTCTGATATTTCTGCTAATTTTGAGAATTTTTGCTGCAAAAAGTGGAAACCTGTTGTTGCCAGACTTGGAAAATCAGCCAGTTTCATTAAAAGAAGTCGTCTGAGCTGTGTAATCACTACAAATGTATTTGCAGATTTGCTGTCATGAAGCTGGTATTTCACAGCCAGACTGAAAGGTCAGCTTTCATTGGCTGTTACACCAGCTGACCTAATGCGAGGTGATTAGGTCAACCAGTAAGTCGTCCCAGCAGGAGGTCTGTAATGCAGTTAGCAAAAAGGCCACGGCAGACAGCCTCTATCTGTGTTTACTGTGGGTCAGACTCAAAAACAAATCATTCATGTGAAAAGAAGTTTTTGGGAAATCTGCAGGAAGCACACGCTTGTTGCCCCGTTTGATTGCTGCTGTATTTGTCTGACTCCTCATTTACCTGAATCAAGTTCGCATAGAGCCGCAAAAGCCTCAATAATGGGCAAGGCGATTCAAACAGGCTCCAGCAGGCTGTCTTAACTTGCAAATACACATTAATTGGTGCAAAGTTTTGGTACTTGACCTTCGTCAGGCAAAGTCTGAATCTTCCGGATACGCTCGTCCCTTTCCTGTCTCCTGAAATACATGTGCAAAGAAAGTTCTTTCGGTTTAAATACACCAAGTTGAAAAAAATACAAAATTATCTTTTAAGGTGAGAATTTGGCAGCTGTCAAGAAAGATGGCATCTTCATTCTTCATGCTTTTAATCAAAGTTGTTGCCAGTTTTCGACAGAGATGGTCACAAGTAAACGATAAGTCAGTTAAGTCTTCCTCAGATGGATTCAAATGCCAGCCTGGAAACTTATCACAGTTACTGATGTGTGTTGAATTGACCACAAGTCGGTGTTACAATGTGTGGAGCAAACACAGGTAGTGATGCAGGTAATGAATGATGTCATTTATTCTGCAGGATACTAAAGTGTGTTGAATATTGTGTCAGCATTCTAATACAGAAGTTTCAAATGATGCCCAGCTCTGCTCAGCTGTAATGGAAGAGTGAAGACTTCTTATTGTTCCAGATTTCATGGCAATAATCTGTATTTATCCAGGAAATGAGTTTCTACTTCTAAGCTGCTTCTGACTGAGTGTGTGTTGTGTGTGCAGGTGAAGGAGGACATCCTCAATGATGAGAACTACTGTCCTCCAGAGACGGCCGTGCTGCTCGCCTCCTACGCCGTCCAGGCTAATTACGGCGATTACAACAAAGACATTCACAAGCCTGGATACCTGGCATCCGACCGGCTGCTGCCACAGAGGTAGAATACAAACATTATATACTGTACTCATGAGGACACGCAGAAATAATTGATTCCTGTTAGTTGTGTTCAGACACTGGCCTGGCCATCAAGTTCAAGTTAACCCTCTGAACCGCAAGCAGTTAAATCTGTTACAGCCTGGTTCAAGAGGCTACTGTAGCTTCTGGCAAGCAAAGACAACATAGTATGATATTGTTTATGAATTATGTGAATAATTTCTGTATTTGTTTGCGCTTGCTTCTGGGTCCTGTAGAGTTTTGGAGCAACACAAGCTGACAAAGGAGCAGTGGGAGGACAGAATACAGACCTGGCATGAGGAGCACAGAGGGATGCTCAGGTGAGGCTGTCTGCTTGGGATTTACGATATGATATGATACAACTTTGATGCCAGCGCAACTTCTTCAAAGAGGTAAACTCACAATTCATATGATCATAGGTATGATATCTTTACCCAAATTTGCTCACAAAAATAAAAAAAATCATACATAGATGACATTTTTACGATCCGAGAGTCTCCTTTGGTAACACGCTGATCCTGGTTTAGCAGCAGAATGAACTGATGAATAAAAGTTTCAAATAAGGATCTCTAGATCTGGATATACGAGGAGAATCCATCATAACCCCAAGATGAGCGTTGGTTAATATCTGTGTAGTTAACTGTCACTGGAACTGATAATCAGAGGAACAACTGAAATCAGTCCTCTCTGTCTTTTTTGTGTTAATAGTAATTTTTAGTGACCTGGTGCAGACTGGTGTCGCCTCTGTCAGTCAGCACGGACAGTAAAGTGGAATCATCACACAAAGGATTTCATTTTTCTTTGCCAACTGCTTTGTATTTGTAGGAAACCAATATGAGATGGTTATATGGTAATATGGATTTAGCTGCAACGGAATCATTTTACTTAAAAGTAAATCAGGTTGAAATTGATTACATGCTGATAAGAAGTTCAGGGAAATAAAAATAATATTTAGTATTATTTCTAGTAAAACTTCTATATGCTTATTATTATTATTATTATTATTGTTATTATTATTATTATTTTACAGTATTTAGAGTTTTTAACACTTATTCTCATTGTAAATAGCAGCCCAATTTTGCACCTGATTTCTTCCACCAACATGATTTGCACATTATTGTGCACATTATTTTCCTTTCTTTTCTTAAATGTAGGATGTGTAAGCTACCAGATATATGGAATTTCCCCAAATGGGTGATTAAACTGTCTGTCTATGGGTCTCTATGCCTTCTATTGCACCTTCCAAACCTCAAGGTAAAGATGAGAGAGTGGAGTACATTAAAAGAAGACAGTATACATTAGCAAAGACACTGAAAGTTTAAAAAGAGTAGTAGCAGGACATCAGAAAAGGGGTCAAATAATATATTACTGTTTGTACATGTGGGCTTTTCAAATGTTTGAAAAACTGAGGTAGGTTGTTCTCACTGTACATGAACTCTGGCTGATGTTTTGGGTTTGTCAAGATGTCTGGAAAATAAGATGCACATGTGTGACTTCTGCAGCAGGTTTTTAAGACGCTGACACCTGAACTCTCATGACTGTTGTTCGTAATTGTGTATGTGTGTGTGTTTGCAGGGAGGATGCGATGATGGAGTACCTGAAGATCGCTCAGGACCTGGAGATGTACGGCGTCAACTACTTTGAAATCAAAAACAAGAAGGGCACAGAGCTGTGGCTGGGCGTCGACGCCTTGGGCCTCAACATCTACGAGCACGAAGACAAGTAACAGCAAACACACACCTGGCTACACGCTGTGCAGATGTGTGGATGTACATTATACCTTATTACTCAGTATCACAGTTTACTGGATTCAGTCTAGTTCGGTGGTTCCCTGCTTGAATGTAAATCTAGAAAGAATCTGTCACAACTGTGCGACAACTTTCGTCGAGAAGTCTTTGCTTCATTTTATTGCATCATGAGGCCAGAAGGGAACCACTGGCAAAGTCCAAGTAATCAGCACATAGTTGAAACTGAAAACGGACATCAAAGAGGAAGAAAATGAAACTGCAAGAGAAGTTTCTGTCAGTGAAAACAACACCCGCATTTATTTTAGGAAGATCCTCCACTGCAGTCGATTCTCTGCTGCAGTGAAGAGAGAACTTCATCAAGTTATTTACTGTGTTTGGAGCAGTAAACCTAGACTTTGCATTTAAAGATTACATTGGAGAGAAGTGCATTTCCAGCTGCTTGTATGACCCTGGATTGCATTTATGTGACAGTAGCGCCTTCTTTTGGTGGTGAACAGAACAGCAGTGAATGCTCAGTACTGCAAAGCATCAAACTACTAAGCTTTGTTCCGATCACTGGCATTGTTGTTTCATATTTTATTATTAACTATTTCATCTATTTATTTATACATTTAGTTATATAATAATAATGACGATAATAATAATACATAATTTACAAAGTGCTTTACGTAGTAAAAGATTTACAAAATAAATCAATACAGCAACACCAGATAAAATAATAAAAGACCCAACAAATCCATATCCAAGAGGAATAGAACAAAATAGAGGGTAAAACCATGAAGGCAAAGCTGCAAATAATAACAATAAAATAATAGTAATAGTAAATATTTTAAATAAATAAGTAAATAAATGAAGGGTAAAAGAAAAATAAATCCTAAATTTATATCTAACAAAACAGATTATTTTAAAAATACTTTAGCTCTGATGCTCTATTGAGCAATCTGATTAGCTACAGGTCGCAAGAAATAGTCTATTAACACTGAAGAATAAGAGTGGAAATGTTTCTTTTACACGTGTAAAACAGAAATAAACAGACAATTTGAGAAAAATTGGGGGAAAAAAAATTAACTTTCCTCTTCCACTAAACCACGGCTACATAAAAACTATTTTGTGCATTTAGGAAACTCCATCCATCCATTATCTATACACCACTTAATCCTCACTAGGATTTATCTAGCGTTATTCAGGGCTGCATGGTGCAGCTCGCAGCTAGAAGATCCCTGGTTTTTGTCCCGGTGAGGACACCCGGGATCTTTATGTGTGGAGTTTGCATGTTCTCCCCGTGCAGCGTGGGTTCTCTCCGGGTTCTCCGGCTTCCTCCCACAAGGTCCAAAAACATGTTGAGGTTAATTGGTGATTCTAAATTGTCCATAGGTGTGAATGTGAGTGTGCTTGGTTGTCTGTGTCTAAGTGTAGCCCTGTGATAGACTGGTGACCTGTCCAGGGTGTCCCCTGCCTTCACCCTGAGTCAGCTGGGATAGACTCCAGCCCCCCATGACCCTACAGAGGATTAAGCGGTGTATAGATAAAGGACGGATGGATGCATGGATGGATGGATTTTAATTTCTATGGCAAACGCATATAAATGTCAGACCAAATGCTGGTCACTCTTCTTGACTAGAGTTTTCTGGTCAGTATTGGCCCTGACAAAAACATATCAGTGGAAAAAAATGCTCCTCAAATAGTTTGTTTTGATTCCCAATATTTGAAATTCATTTTTGAAATTACCAAAATATTTGTAGAGAAGTTAAAAGTTAATCATCCATTCACCTTATCAACATGAGGTTTAATCTTTATTGCTGCTGCTTTCAGGTTGTCTCCAAAGATCGGCTTCCCCTGGAGCGAGATCAAGAAAATTTCCTTCAGCGACAAGAAGTTCGTCATCCAGCCCATCGACAAGAAAGCTCCAGTAAGTGTTGGTGAATGAATGAATGTATGGATTTATTTTTACACACTAACCCTCTCATATGTCATCCGTACTTCCTCCAGGACTTTGTGTTTCTCGCCCCGAGGCTGCTGATCAACAAGCGCATCCTGGCCTTGTGTATTGGCAACCACGAGCTGTACATGAGGAGGAGGAAGCCCGACAGCATTGAGGTGCAGCAGATGAAGGCTCAGGCCAGAGAGGAGAAGCAGCACAAACAGATGGAGAGGTACAGTGCATGCTGCTGTTTCCATCTTCACTTTACATCGATCTGGGAGCAGCGTCTTTTATTTGTCTCTTCTGGAAATCATTAAAGGGGTATTTCTTTGAGCTTTTCTGTTACTGGTTCACAACACATGCACAAAATCTAGTTATATTTATATATAAAGTCAAATAAAACCAGTCAGTTTGTCAAACTCTGAGCATGTCTTAAAGACTGTATGACCTGTAATTTTCTTGTTTTATTATTCACAACCAGATACTCACACCTGTTTGTCCTTTGCATAGTCCGAAAAATGAGGGGAATATACATTTTTGACAATATGTTGCTTCCATTTAATGACTGATTAAATCACTTTATGTAGTGAAGTAAGTGAGTTTTCAGTCAGTGTGCAGACTGCTGACAAATTACAACAACAACCTGAACCACTGAACATCTGGGGGTTCTGTTATGTCGTCGGGGGCATTTTGCTGCAATGGTTAGGTCCACTAGTCCACTTAGAGGTGGTCAGTGAACGGTTTGATGAGCACGAAAAAGACGTTAATCGTATGTAATGGGAGATATTGGACCAACGTTTTCAACAATCCTCTCCGCTGCCATCATCACAACATCAAATGAGGGAATATCTTTAGGAAGGACGGTGTTGATCCCTCCAGCAGAGTCACAGGAGAATTACTGAATTGAAGCTTTTTGGGTGACGTAGTGGCTTTACTAAGACACTTTATGCTGGTTTCTCCACGTCCTTTCCCTTCATTGTCACCTGTCTGTATCCCTACATAGATAAAAGTAAGTTTGAAGTAGGGTTAACGGTCTTTTCCAACCAGGCAGGTTTGTCTCTCCTCCACATTGCTTGTGTTGCTGGTAACACTTTGTCAACAATAGGGGGCAGTGTTGTGTTGAAAACAAAAGTCATAATCGTCATCTGCAGGCTAAACCTGACGTTACAGTCGGAAACACAACAGCTCATGTTTCTGTTGGTGGCAGACATGTAGTCACATTGTTTTGTCATTGTTTCAGGGTTATTTAGTGTATGTTTGTATGTAGGTAGGTAGTGTGTTTGTTCATCAAATTCACAGTGTCCATGTCACACTGCATGAAAACACGTTAAAAAGAAGTTTTCTTCTGTGTATATACTGACTAGTTTTTTATCCATAGACAGATTGACGCATATTACATGTAAGAAAAATAATGAGCAAATGGTTGCGGTAGAAGAACCAAGTTGTTGTGCAAGAAAACAAATTGTATTAGTGAATTAAAAGTATTAGAAGGTGTACACACAGTATAACAAATAGAACATTATACTGAAGGTATTGTTTTGTGTCTGTATATGAGATGATAATGTGTGTTATTGTAAAAAAAAAAAAAAAAAAAAAAATTGATGTTAAAGGTAATTTAATGTAACATATTGAAACATGATGTTAAAAACAAACCTAATGCAAGCTGAGCAGTTATTGAGAGAAAATATTTAAAGTTGTAACACAAAAAACAAATGTTTTCCTGTACATCAGTGGGTTTTACAAGCAGCACACTTGGCTACTGTTTGAAATCTGCTGCTTCTCAGTCAATGTGTTCAATAAGGCAGCACACACAGCAGCGGGGAGCTTTTTGTTAACACCAGGATTCGGGACAAACATTCTGTGAATCTCCTTGTTGATTATCATGATTGTGTAACTTGTAATGATGTGTGTGTGTCGGTTGTGTTTCTGTGCTGTTTCTACAGAGCACAACTGGAGAACGAGAAGAAAAAGCGCGAACATGCGGAGAAGGAGAAGGAACGAATAGAGCGAGAAAAGGAAGAGCTGATCGAGAGGCTGAGGCAGATCGAAGAACAGACGCAGAGAGCTCAGATAGGTACGACTGCAGAGGGTTTGTGTCGTTCTGCTTCTGTCTCTGTGAGGAGTCTCTCTTTGAGGTGTTTAGAGTGAGGATGTCCTTCTATCTTTTCATGTGCTTCTGTGAACTGTCAGAGGGCTAAAGCTTAAGTAAAAAAGGAAAAAAAAGGAAATTCTGGTATTCTTTAAGTTAAAAAACAAACAACGGGATGGAAAGGGATGATTGCAACACGGTGAAAGAAAAAAGGGGGGAAAATAAATTGAACTTTCCTCCTGAATAAAAACTATGTTGTGTACTTAAAAAACTCTGAATGAACAAAGAAATACAGACAGACATACATACATACATACATACATACATACATACATACATACATACATACATACATAAGGCACGTTTGTAGAAACAAGTATGAAAAACTGTCAAACTGTGTCAGCGGGTAGTTAAAGTTTTTATCTGACAATTTCAATTATATATTTTTCCAGTGTTTTGCTGGTTTATTTAGATAAAATGAATGTACAGCGCACAAGCTGCTGTATATGAATTAGGCCGAATTAAACATCTCGAGCTTTGATGTCATTTATCAAATGGAAAACAGTGGTTTTGTTGAAACAGATGGTCATATTTAGACAAAGTTTTGATATCAGAAGCTGAAACTTGGGTATCATGTTTGCACAAATTCAACGGATAGCCAGCCCTTTTTTCCCCCATTCTTCTTCTTCTTTTTAGAAATGTTTATATTTAAACATGTTGGAGTTTCAGGGTTTAGTTTTTCATCTCAGTGATCCTGAGTTGTTCTCACGATTGAATATATAAAACTAAAAAGTCCAGAAGTTTAAAGGTCACAGCAAGAAGCAGTCTGCCCCAAATTAAAGTGAAAACAGAAAACCACAAAAGTATAACAAACTATTCAGAAATCCCAGACTGAATGAGGTCTCCCTGTTTTGCATTTTTTACCTTTTCCTAAAGGTGAAACTTCATCTGTTGCTTTGTCCAAGCAGCATTTGATGCTCTCAGACCGCCGCTGTGTTAAAGGTCAGCCAGGAGAAGCACAAAGCCATAAAGATGCCTGCTAGAGTGTAAACAAACGTTTTACTTTTGCGTAAATTTGCATAAAGTGGAGACCGTGAGCAGCAAGCTCAGACTCAGCCAGCAGCAGCTGGCGTTGTACTTAATCCCATAAATCCTGCTTGTTGACTGTGGTGAAAATCAGAGGGGAAAAAAATCCAAAGTTATCACCTGTAAAAAAAACCTTTAAAGCACTGAAAAGTCCGTACTGAGCCGATGCAGACGAAAGCTGATTTTAATACAACTCGCATACATACTCCTGCACATATTTCTCAGTTTTCTGCTTGTGTATGAAGAGTGTTACGTAGAGGAAATGCTCTGAAAATATTGACCAAATAATGAAGACACAGCGCACATAACTGCAGACTCTACAGTTTCATTTTCTCTCCACGCTTGTTTCCAGTCTATGTTTTACTGCCCTGTTTTAGTCAAGGTGGAAATATAAAATAAAATTTAGAAAACACTGGAAACAGATTTACTTGGATTGGTGATGAGATAAATATAATGTTTTAAAATGTAAAATTTCATCATTACTTCTGTTTCGAGTTCTATGGATGATAGAAACGTGCAAAAGAGGCGTCTTTTGCATCAAGGAGAAGTTTTTTGAAGTCAGTGAAATATTTAAAGAAATGAATTTCATCAAAGAAATAACAAAAAAAAATCAACAACAAGATGACTGTGCTTGGTATAAAAAATACATAAAAGTCGAGAGTTTTTACATAAGATAAGATATGATAAGATACAATAAGATAAAACTTAATCATGATTACAGTTCTTGTTCTAGATATTGCTTGGAAATTAAACAAGAAAGACATAAGATAAGAAATACATTGCCTAAACAGTAGGAAAACAATAAGATATGAGTACGATACATGACTGAAATAATATAAATGAGCTTAAATAAGACAAGAAAAGAACAGCAATTAGTAATGCTGGCAGTTATACTGAGATCATTAGTAACATCATACATGATAGTAAAATATTACACCTGAAAACTACATCAAAATGAAATATTGCACATGTAACCAAGACATTACACGTGAAACTGAAATATTTCACTTGAGAAATTAAAATGTAAAATATTGCAGATGAAATTACATGCTACACATGATACGGAAACTGATAATACACAAACTACTGAGACAAGTAATATTGTGAATTATTCATATTAAGGAGAACATGCAGCTTTTTAACTTTCATCTTGCACTTTGTCGACTCCCCTCTGTGACACATACTTCCATGTGCATCGATGCAGAGCTGGAGGAACAGACTCGGAAGGCTCTTGAGTTGGAGCAAGAAAGGAAGCGAGCAAAGGAGGAAGCCGAGCGGCTAGAGATGGAGAGGCAAGCGGCAGAGGAGGCCAAAGCAGCGCTGGCTCAGCAGGCTGCCGACCAGATGAAGAACCAGGAACAGCTGGTACCTGCACACATACATCAAACTTTCCTACCAACTCCAGCGTGTTCTCCTTTAGCTTCACTTGTTAGACGCTGAAGGCCGCTTTCACCATTGACCCTGCTAGAAATAGTGTAGAAATAGATCAAGATGTAGTCACAGTTTTCACACTCAACCAACTCAGCGAGCCTCCACAAGTGCATAGAAGCATCTGGATTCCTCATGTTCAACTCATTTAATCAGCTTTTTCCTTTATATTTCCACCAGCGTAACACAGAACTTATGAAACAGGATATAGATTGTGTCCCAAATACAACTTATAGGAACAGAAAATATTTTTTTTTGAGAAACAAAAGGTTTCAGTTAAACCTTAATCACCACTGGTTACTAACTGAAGCTCCAAGAGTCACACATTATTTTTAATTCCACATATATATTTAGTCTTGTATTTATTTAACACAAGATATATTGAACGACTTTTTGTACAATCTACTTTTAAGTAAATAGTTTATTCTTATACACGTGCTGATTATTTATTTTTTTTGTTATGATTTTTTGCATCCTATAAATTTTACCATGTCAAAATAACCAAATAATGGAACCTTGACTAGCCATACTTGCAACACACCAAATTCTACTGATGTTAGATGCTTCAAAAGTTGTTGAAATGTCAACCAAAGACTGTGTCTTTAGTAGAAAATATGGATGCATCCACATATATGCACTCACAGACATAATTTATCAAGCAGAATCACCCGTTTCTGAAATATGAGAAGTTGGTAATTCCATTAGTTTCATCTTAGGTTGCACGTAGCTTTGTGTTTTCAGACTGCTCCTTTTGTTGTGGTAACTTTTAACCGGCATGTGTGGTTATTTTCAACAGGCTGCAGAGTTAGCGGAGTTCACTGCCAAAATCGCTCTGCTGGAGGACGCAAAGAGGAAAAAAGAAGAGGAAGCAACAGAATGGCAGCACAAAGTACAGTAACCCTCATCATAGAAGTGTGTTTGGCATTAGCCCAATGAACTGAGCAGTTCCTGGGTATTTCCTGTCACATTAGTTTTTTTTCACGGCAGTATAGAATCCAGCACCTCTATGGAAACAGCATGATTATTGTGGCTCGAAGTACAGAGAACTCAAAGATGTCTTCAGTGCAGACGGACAAAAGCCATAAATGATTTTTTTTTAAAGAAAAAAAGCAGTTACACTGAATTTCTCTGATTGTTTATTTTACAAAAGTCACGATAAAACCTTTAATAAATATGTGCAACATTTTTCCAACTGCTGATAAGTGTAAAAAACAAAAAACAAAACATACATACCATAGATATTTTACTACCAGCATTTATTTTTGTCTTTTGTCTTTAATCTACTCCATGTATACACAACCTGCAGTTCAACCCAGTTCAGATAAATAATCTCTGAGTTTTTGTCACATCTTCGTTGGTCTCAGCTGATTAACGGCTAACGGAACTAATGGCTTCACAGTTAAAATAAAGGGATTTATTCTACATTGTGAAAGATGACAATGTTAAGCTCAGATTTGGTTAAATATGTGTTGATTATTTATGTTTTATAGTTTTCAGCACCGATAAATGATGTAATTTTGGTGATTTTTCTTAAAGGCAACATGGCTTTCGGACCCGCCCGTGTGTTTAAAGGGTTTTAAATACTGTAAATATAAATCAAAAGATGCATGGTGTTATTCACGGATGCAATTAAATCTTGAGTAAACACCCAAAAACAAAAGCAGTCATAGCAGCAGTGGGTGCTTTTGTTGTTGCAACTTGTTGAGAGTTTCTCTTTATTAATGCGCTAGCAGATCAACAAGATTCTTAAATATGCCATGTTTGTATAGGGCACCATTAAAATTTTTGAAAATGGTTCCTCAAAAAACACAGTATGGAAACACTGATGTCGGATTTCTACAGAAAAAGCAGATTTAGAGATTAAAAGGTAGATTTTTTTAGTAAAAGTCTGAAAAAGTTGAAATCTGTCGGTGTCTTTTTCTCTCTGTAAGTTTGCATGTGGGTTCTTTCCAGGCTCTCTCAGCACAAGACGACCTGGAGAGGACTCGGGAGGAACTGAAGACGGCCATCACGTCTCCGCCGGCGCCGGAGCACGACGAGCAGGACGAGACCAACGCCGAGGCGAGCGCCGAGCTCCTCAGCGATGGAGTCACCAGCGACCGCAACGAAGAGGATCGCATCACCGAGGCGCAGAAGAACGAACGTGTCAAGAAACAGCTGCAGGTAGAACTGAGTGGAGGGAAACAACAGATCAAAGATTAGAACACATATAAAACACAGAGCCAACTGAAATGAGTGAAGCACAGTGTGAAGGGTGTGTACATGTACTGTGGATGTAGTGTACAATATCGACAGTGCCTCTGGGAAAACACGTTTCTACAAGTTTCTACATCATTTCCTGGTGCTAAGTACAAGGCACAAGTCATTAAAGCTGAGATTCTGCCAGTCTAAATGTGAAGTCAAGCCCTCTCCTGTACAAAGGATTAACTTAAGCTCATCTCAGAATTCCTCAGGCGTCATAAGTGTTCGATGCTGCTGATTACTGGCCAAGCAAGAATATTACTAAACTATTTATCCCACAGAAAGAAACTAAAGATAGTCAATGAATAGTTTGCAGTGGGATCATGAGCCGGCCTTCAATAAACAGACATTATTTGCTCATAAAAAATTCAGGACAGTCATGAAGCTAAACAACTTTTAGTAAATTAAAGGAGGAACTACTGTCCCAATAACTGTCTGCCTGCTGTGAAGAAACTTTAAGCATTCCTCAAAAGCAAAAAAAAAAAAGAAAAATGCAATCATAGAAAAAAATTTATCATCCCATTTTATTTAGCAGCACTATCATACTGCTAATACATCTGCCTCTCAAGTTTTCCTTCACTAGCTGTACGTCTTGTTTGATGTGGAGAGTTGGAGGATAACTGCATCTCTTTGAAGATACTGGTACTTCGATACGTATACTGTGCTGGAATAAATTACCAGAAAAGCTACTGAAAAGTTGTCTAAGCTGAATGTGGTTAGTTTGCTGTAGTTTCTTGAATTTAACTTTACAACACTCACAAGGTCTCCAGCAACCATTCTGAGCTAGTGTATAGCAATTTGCGCATAAAGATTTAAATGTTCAAACTTTTGTCAGTATAGTCATGCTACCATAGACTGTATGCAAATATGGAAGAATTTTCCATGATACCACCCATAGGTTTCAAAAATGTGTATCCTATAATGGCATTATAGAAAACTCTAAGCCCAAATTCAATTTTACTGGCTGAGTTCAGCTTCGCGCCCGGACCCGTCCAGGTGCCACACAGCCCCGCTCGCTCCATGGAGCGTCGGGTGGGTGGTGGGTGGTGGTGGTGGTGGTGGTGGTGGTTGTTGTTGTTGTTGTTGGGCCTGGAGCGAGCCCGCCCGCCCGCCTACCTACCTACCTACCTACCTACCTACCTACCTACCTACCTACCTACCTACCTACCTACCCGGCCTCACCCCACCGTGTCCTCCGGACGACCTGTCCAGGGTGTCCCCTGCCTTCGCCCTAAGTCGGCTGGGATAGGCTCCAGCCCCCCCGCGACCCTAATGAGGATTAAGCGGTGTATAGATAATGGATGGATGGATGGCTGAGTTCAAAACATTCTTCCCACACACAGTTGTCATGAACACAGAAATAATCCATAGACACGACAACCATTTTTTTTTGTTTTAGGCTGAAAACATGTTTATTTCTGCTGCAAAGCTGAACATGGTAACATGGAGGTCTATGGGGATTGACTCACTTTTGGAGCCTCAAGTGGACATTCGAGGAACTGCAGCTTTTTGCACACAAACAATGGCTTCATTTTTTGGCCCCACAGGCTACAGCTTGTCTACGATACATGGTTAGATTGATTAGATTCAGTGCAGTTTGGGAAAATCCCAAGCTTAAAACAAAGGGGTCTGATATCTCATTCATGACCTGCTATAGAAGGTATGCTGTGATTTGCATATTTCCAGCATAAACATGACCTAGTTATTGTTGTTCAAGTATGATTTAATGTAGATAAGGACAATGAAAAAACTGTTGCAGCCAAATGCCAAAAAAACACTTTGTCGGAAAGTAGAAGATGTTACTTTTGAAATTAAGTCTCATACGTGCCTTCTTGTTGTACAATTGTTCTGCTATTACTGTTTCCTTTTGGGAAATAGTTGAAAGTTCGATAAAAGGGGTTGTCGCAGAAACACAGGTTGCCAGCTCAGACAAACAGACAACAGACAGAGTTGTGGATTTACTTCATGGCATTGCCTCAGGTTTAGGGTATGATGAATTCTGTGTTGGATAATAAGGATTTAATACCAAGAATTAAACTCCAATTACCTCAATATACAGTCATTACTCTGACAAGGAGAGTGTCGAGGTGCAGATGTGCAATCAGTGCTGCCAGTCTGTCTGTTTATTAGCAAAAACACAAAAACTTCGAAGCTAAATTTCACAGAACTTGTTGGAGAGGTGGAGAATGAGCACAGGAGGAACCCTTTAAATTTTAATGCGGACCTGCATCAGTTTCATTAAAATTGCAGGACAGGGCACTGGACTTGGCAGGGAATGGCCTCTCCAAGTGCCCTTCTAGTTTTCATGTCTGTACACATCTCTCAGGCTATGTTCCTCCATATTCCATAGATTCCATAGAATCATCATCTTATTGTTCCTTAGCTTTCAAAGTAAAATTGAATGTCAAAATTTTCTAGAAAGTTTTAAGAAATATGAAAATGTGAATTTAAGTTAGGGCTGCAGGGTGGCACAGTTGGTAGCACTGTTGCCTCGCAGCAAGAAGGTTGCTGGTTCGCGTATCTTCGCGTATCGCGGAATCTTTCTGCGTGGAGTTTGCATGTTCTCCCCGTGCAGCGTGGGTTCTCTCCAGGTTCTCCAGCTTCCTCCCACACAGTCCAAAAACATGTTGAGGTTAATTGGTGATTCTAAATTGTCCGTAGGTGTGAATGTGAGTGTGCTTGGTTGTCTGTCTCTAAGTGTAGCCCTGTGATAGACTGGTGACCTGTCCAGGGTGTCCCCTGCCTTCACCCTAAGTCAGCTGGGATAGACTCCAGCCCCCCCGCGACCCTAGCGATGATTAAGCGGTGTATAGATAATGGATGGATGGATGGAATTTAAGTGAGACATCAAACGATACTGCCCCCAGTTAAGACATGGTGGCACAACTATTTAAAACACATTATCTACAACAGCTCTTCATCCAATACTGACCAAACCTAGTGAATAGTTCTTCATCGATAAAAAGTGATCCACTCTGCATATACACACCTGCAGTTCAGCCCAGTTCTGATAATTAGTCCCTGATTTTTTGTCACGTCTTTGTTGGTCTCAGCTGAGTCATTAATCGCTTCGTAGTCGCGCTGAAAACGACAGAATTTTTTTGTTTCTAACAGAGTCAGGTTACCTAACCCTACTGCAGATGGTTTATTTTGGACAAATGTTTAAAAATGAAAGCAAGTACAATGAAGTGATGTATTGTACGTTGCAAAGTATAACGTTAAGATTAACATTAAGATTTGGTTTGTTTCCACGACGAAACGACACGTGACAGATGAGAAGCTCCGTTATCTTCAGAAAGTAGGATATTTGTTGATTATTTGTGTTGTTACAGTTTCTGGCAATGATAAATTGTGTCATTTCTGTGATTTTTTTTTTTTTTTTTTTGAAGGACAAAATGCCTTTTAAACCTTTTAAAGTTTGTGGGTTTGAACTACCTTGAATAAAATTAAGGGGGCATTATTTTAGTCATGGATACAATGGTGCTAAATCTTAAATGGACACCCAAAAATAAAAACAGTAATAACAGTAGTGGGTAAATTTGTCATTGCACCTGGTGGAAAGTATTATTTTATTTGTGCACTTCATTAGCTGATGAACAGGATTCTTTATGCTATTTTTGTGTAGTATGGTATTAAAACTCTTGGAAATGAGTCCTAAACATACTGTACACATCTGGACAGAAAAAGCAGAAAATAAATAAATAAAAAGGTGTTTTTTTCTTGACAAAAAATCCAATTGTGAAAAGTCTAAAAACAAAAATGATGCACTGCTGATATCGTCTCAGCTTACTGATGTCTGAACAGTGCCATCAAATCACCACACTCTCTTTGTTCTCTATCCAGGCTCTGAGTTCGGAGTTGGCCGACGCCCGGGACGACACCAAAAAAACCCAGAACGACATGCTCCACGCCGAAAACGTCAGAGCAGGCAGAGACAAATACAAAACCCTGCGCCAGATCCGCCAGGGCAACACCAAGCAGCGAATCGACGAGTTCGAGTCCATGTGAGCCAGAAAGAAGGCCGGACAGAGAACAATCTCGTTTCCACGTCAACGCCTCACTTTCCATGTGAAGCCCAGAACCTGCTGCCACTCCGGGAACCTTCCAGCTTCCGTTTTCTATCCAGGAGAAACACCAGCTACCGGGCTTTGTAGCTTCAGCCTCGCCAAAGCTCTGTCTGGCAGCGGTTGGCCAGTCACACTGCTTTTTAGAGCTCCGCCCTCAATCCAGTGATGCACATGTCTTTTAAACAGTCTGGGAAAAAAAACGCAAGCAAAGCATCCTCCTCCCTTGTACATTACTGGCAATTCTAATGCTTGCATGTATTATATTTAAACAATACCAGGACCTCTAGACTAAATGTGACACTGGACAGAATCGATTGATATTGTGCTTTTACTCAGCTGAATAAAAAGGCCATTTGTAGCTGTAGCTTGTTGATGTTGCCGGCACGCTTTAATATCTACTTCTTTTGTCATCAGCTGAACAATTTAATTAATTTGTTGTTGTTTTTTTAATAACGCCTTATTCGACTCCTTCCTCGTCTCGTTTTGTCTGTTTGTTTTGGGACAGTTCTGCTGTCGGCGTCATCGATCCGTCAAAGTTGCAACAGCTATCTTGGCTGTTTGGAAACGCTCACGTCGAGAGCTGTGAGCTGATATGCAAGCTAGAATTGCTTCTTTTACATTCTTACTGTGCTGGCATGTTCTGTCCATGGAGACATTTGTTCAAATATATATTTTGGCCCACAATAAAGAATGAATTTATATTTCCAAATATGTAGCAATAATATGATCTTAAAAGTCCTGACTGATGTTAAAGCCAGTAGAGCTGGGTCTCACGTACACCTTCAGACATACATAAAAAGCAAGGAAAGCCTTTGCTGCTTAAAACCAACGTGTCATGAATGACTTTTCTTTGCAGAGTGGTTGGACACAACAATAGAGCAACATACTGCGGTCTCTGAAGGTTTGTATCATATTAAAGCAATTTTCATCTTTACAGCGGAGGAATTTTGAAAATAACAGCAAGATCAAACTCCTTTACTGATTATTAATGTCAGTTATTAGTAACTCTGCCTTGGAAATATTGTGGAGATTTTATTTCTGTATCAAAATCTGGAAAAACAAGGAACAAACATCTTAACGGTTAATATTAGAAAAAAAGATGAATTTGTAGTTTTCATCTGTAAATCTTGCATTTTTCCGAACACATTCATGTTTAAAGGACAGAGACAGAGCAGCATGTGAAAGCTTGAGAAGGGCTTTTATTGGTCACTTTTACATCACACAAGAACAGTCAGCACGTCTCATTTGGCCACAGTTTCCCAGATTCTGTCAAGTTTGTTTTTCCTGCTTTTGTTTTGGGTTTTATATCCTAAAGCTTCGTTAAGTTGCACAAATGTCTGAAGAAAGCCCCTTTTCATAAGATGAAAAAGATAAGAACAGACATGAAGGTAAAAAATTTGGGGAAAAGCATCTCGTCTCGTCTGTTTTTTTGTTTGTTTTTAATCTAATTTCCTTCTCCTTCTGTCTTTAAATTAATCATATACAGTGGTGCGGGAAAATTTGTGAACCCTTTACAAGTTTCCATAAATGGAAATATGCAAAAATATGACCTAAAGCAAGATCAGCTTTTCACACAAGTCCTAAAACTAGATAAAAAGGAATCCAGTTAAAGTAATGAGACAAAAACAGAGAGGAATATGATCCAATATTGCACATCTGTGAGTGGCAAAAGTATGTGAACCTGCAGGATTAGCAGTTAATTTGAAGGTGGGATGACAATTAGGTGTGAGTGGATGTCCTGTTTTATTTAAAGAACAGAAATCCAGCAGAACCTGACGTTCACATGTTTGTGGAAGTCTCTCATGGTATAAACAGAAGATTCCTGTTGTTGCTCATAGAACTGAAAAAAAGTTGTAAAACCATTTCTATGGAGTTAAGAACTTCATTAATCCACATTCAGACAGACTTTGTACGTGTGAATGAACAACAAAGATCACACCAAGATGAAGGCATGGAATAGTCCATAAAGTCAGCAGGTAAACTGAAGACCACCTTCATGGTAGTTATTCATTAGAAGACCACTGAACAACAATGGAGAAAGCCACTGCTTTTGCTGCCCGTTACAGTTTGCTAAAGATCATGTGCAAATGTCAGACGGCTGCTGGACAAACGTTGATAAAGGGGGAAAAAAATAGAGCTTTTTGGTTCATGAGTCTGTCTTGGTTTGGGCCTGTTTTCTAGGAACAATTATACCAGCAAAGTCTTGAACTGAATATCAAGAGAAAGTTGGTCATGCAGCACCAGCCCTCAGCACACAAATCTTTATGCCAACAGTTAAAGAAATATGAAGTTAATATTTAAAACCTAACTTTAATCTGATAGAAATGTTGTAGGAGATGAAGCAGGCAGCCGATGTGAGGAAACACAGCCACATCCCAGAGGTGACTGAGTTGACTTATCAATGTTTATCTGCTGCACAACGAGGTCAAACCAGATCCCGAAAGCCAAGGCTCACGTATTTTGCCACTCACAGATACATTACATCTTGTTATTTTCTTCAGTAAATAAATGACAAAGTGGAATATTTTTGTCTTTTGTGTTTAATGAGGTTCTCTTTATCTACTTTTAGTTATTGTGTGAAAATCTGATCATGTTTTAGATCACATTTATGCAGAAGTCTGGAAAAGTTCACAAACTTTTAAACATCACTGTGATTGGACCGGGCACATCCTATATACAGCAACACTTTTTTGTTAGCATTGCAAATCATACTAAAAAAATCAAATGTGTATTTCTGAAACAACAAGTTCACTGGGCTTAATCAGTACAAATGAATCAGCACAGTCGTACATGGCAGCTTTGGGGTTTCAGCACCCAGCACTGGAGCATCTTTTGGAATGAAACTCCTCATTTGCCAACAGGATCCACAGTGAATCAGCAGCAGCGGTCGAACGCTTTAATCTCCTTTTTTATTTTGGTTTAATACAACCAGTCTTGGCCTGAGCAAAGGGAAACACTGGAAAGCAATAAGCAGCCTTTTTACTCTGCTTTGGTCCCTGAAGAGGTAACACGAACTTATTTCTGCAGCAGAAATGAAGCTGTATTAAAGCATGTTAGAAATAAAGGTGTGAATGAAGAGTGAAAAAACAGGGACTTGGTGTTTTACGATTCCTGTTGGATAAAATACAACATAAAATGCAGAAGCTGTACATGTAGCAGGATTTGAGGCTGTTGTAGTTAAATAAGCCTTTCATCTGTGCGGATAAAACCCACAGAAATCCCTCATGGTGTGTTCAGACTGAACTTGAAGCAAATTTCACATTGTGTGTTTACATGACTAAACACAGGAGGATGTGAACAGTTGACTACGGAAAATCCCATATAGCAGGCAGCATAAACCTGATGTGTCTTTACACAGTACTGAAATGAATGTAGAAAGTTGACTAACCAAAGCCATTGCTGTCTGAGTAGAAACAGCACAAGCGTATGCAAATTAATGAATGACTGCTATTGACAATGTTAACACTTGAGGCTGTACTGTTAAAAAAAAAAAAAAAAAAAAACCTTTTCCTGTAGTTTTTGTTTTGCTTTTTTGTTTGTTTGTTGTTGTTTTTTTTTTTCTTTCACCAGGATGCAAAGTAAAGGGAACTTCACACGCTGGCGAACACAATGAAGGAAATTAAGAAAGTCAGATTGAGGTTTCCAAAACCATGAATGCATTTTTTAACATTAAGAAATAACAGTTATATATATTTACTATCATGAAAATAAATGAAAAAATACAGAAAAACTAGTGATACAAGCCTGTTGCTCTTGTTGTAATTAATTCAAGAATTTCAAATGCTATATCTTGCAGGTAAAAAAAAAAAAACTTCACCAACTGGATGTGTGAAGTAAACAAAATAACAGAAAGAACTCCTGGATGTTTGGAATCAGTGTTGCTAGCCAATGAGAAATTAGTTTCATCTTCAGTCTGAACTCCCTTTTGTGGAGGAATCGTTGCACAGGATGACATTAGCGATGATTTCCCCTCCTATATTCAGCACTGACTAGTATCTTCTTGTGGATTAAAAAAAAAAAAAAATCACATACAATTAAAAAAAATAGCTTTTTAAGACGTTCATGGTAGTAGAAAAATAGCATTAGGTTTTCAGTGTTCACAGGAATACGCTCCGTGCCTAAACCCTGGGGCGAACACCAGCACACAGTGCCAGACCAGCAGGGTAAGAACACCTCAGTTACGGGAGATTTACTCAGCTGCTGGCAACGTAACACAGCACTTGGCTATGAATGGTTTGAAAAAAAAAGGACTCAGTTAACAGACTGGGAAATATCTGGAGCCTGGGACAAACTTAGACGCCAAACTCGTTAAAATAATTCTGCTCTTCTGGCACTTCGGGGCTATTTTGGCTCCTGTGAGGTGAACCGTAACGCCAGCAGGCTTAATATGTCTCCTGAGAAATGAGGACAAATCAAGTTTACCCACAGCTTCACATGCAACACTTTTAACCCTGATCATTTCACTGTCACATGTTTTTGAGCTACACAGTACCACGCTTTCAGTTCACTGACAACATAAACAATAACCACTTCCAAAAAGTGCATTTTCCATGATCTCTTTCCTGCACTGGGAAAAAAAAAAGGAATAAAAATCCCCCTCATATAAAAGCCTAAGTACCAAAAGGTGGCAAACGTTTGCCACATTAGAAGCTAAAATATTCAACTCGAAATATTTTTTGTTTAAATATTTTTTTTTTCATATAAAACAATTATCTTGTTTAAAAGTTTATAGGATACAATTTGTATCAACAAAGAAAGGCTTCATCACTGTAAATTATGCTAACAAGGCAAGAGCTTAGCTTCACCAACAGTTCCTCAGGTACTAAAATAACCCCACTGGTGGATATAAGTATTAAGAAAATAAGAAAATACAGCTTGAAAATACTCTCAAAGGAAGAAAAGAGTAGTTTTTTTGTTTCGTTTTGTTTTGTTAATCATCACTGCTGGTTGGACAGTGAAGGAATTTGATAAATCAGGATATACATTTTTTAACATAACAGGAATTATGAAAACACTTGAAAAAACTACTGAAAAACTAGTGATAGAATATTGTTGTTATTATGTTGATCATGTGACGATCAGGAATAAATTTAAAAAGTTATTATCACGTGCATTTTTCGGACTTTTTTTCTTTTACCAAACCACTGTGTTTTAGTTTAACCAGTGAGACTATTAGTACCCCTGAGATAACATAGGTGTTCCATTGTTTTTGTGCTATTAGTCATCTGTAAACACACTAAAGTTGTAATTCAAGACGGTGTTTTCCAAACTCTTTGCCAGAGTGTTTGCCAACTTCCACTGCAAAGCTGTGGATCTCGAAGGGTACAACACCCTGTCTGAGGAAGAGAAACCCTCTCTCGTGGTGACACCACTGACAAAGGAGACCCTGTGTCTCATTCTCACACACAATAAAGGTAATAAATTAACACATATTTTAAATTAAAATAATACCAACAATCTTCCGCTCCACCTAACATTTCAAGTGACCATGCTCTCAGCCGCCACCTTGACAAGATTTAGAATATTGATACGGTTTAAAGATAGAAAATAACAAAGCGTTTGTTTAAAAAAAAAAAAGGAAAAAAATCAGTTCTGAAAGCCGATGAAGTCAGCTGACAGGGCTATCCTAGCAGAGGAAATAGCTCTAATTCAAAAGTGAACAACAGCTTGGGGTTTTCAAGTGGAGTTTTTGCTATTGCCCTTTGTGGGTGCCGTTTGAGTTTCACTTCCCTGTGGGGGGAAATCCACAAAATCTCACAACAACTGATCTGCCACCTGTCAGCTCAGAGAGGAAGCATTGATCGGTTTGTTGAGCATTGAATACAGCAGGAATGTATCACTAAAGTGGCAGAAAAATTTATGGATTCACTATCTCATTTTACAAACCCCATGTTATCATCTGTGTGACTGAAAAATAGATATTTCACAAATTTAAACGATACCCTGATATGATTGCCAAAAAAAAAACAAAAACAATAACGCAACAATAACAAAAAGTGCCAAAAAACTGAATACATTTAAAAACTATGTAAATAACTTAAAATTTAACAAATAAATTAGTTTAAAATGAATAACACTGTCACCCTTGAAACACATTAAAAGCCTCCCAAAGCACAGCGGTGTCTTGACTCACAACCAAAAATAGATCAAACATGCAAATTAAACCCCCAAACCTTTCCTCATCTTAAGTGCTGAACTTGCAGGCATATTTATAATAAAAAAAATATGGCAATTTTGGGATTTCCCTTTACAAAAATACCATTTCTATTAATGAGATGACTTCCCTGCAATGACAGTCTGTTAAGGAGTCTGGAATCTTGTGCTTTTGGTTTGTGTATGTCCAACTTGACTTTAATTATTAAGGTGATTGCGAGGGATAAACCTGCAAAAATGAGTAAGGTGAAGCTTTAACTTCACTTTCTGTCTGTGTTCAAGAACCATGCTGCGATTTCTCCAACAAAATTGCAGCTGCAAGCTCCTGAGCATCCATCACATGAGGGTTCCTGGTCATCACTATCCTCACCAAGTCTGGAGGGAAGATGGTGCACAAGTTAACAAACACTCTCTCCCTCAGGTCCTGGTATCGACCTAAGGCTGGAGGTTCCTGGTGCTGAGGCGCCGAAGGCAGGTGGCTCTTGTGGGAAGTGATGGATGGAAGAGGCTGCTGTTTTGGAAGACTTGCTGCTGAAAGGCTACGAGGTGAGGTAAGCGCTTGCTGGCTCCACGGAGAGTGCCAAGCCTTCCCATGGACTTGTGGAAGGTTCTTGTGGGAAAACAGATCATAGCAGGGATTTGTGGGTGGCTGATAATTAGTGTCCCAGTTTACTTGATGCTGTGGTTGTTGGTTTAGCCCAGAGTAGTTTCTTCTAGACTGAAGTGGTGACCCCTCATACATTCTGGAGTCCTGAAGACCACCGTCCTGCCAAAGGGAGCCTGTCAGATTGTGGCCGAATGGGGAGCTAAGAGGCTGGGAGTGAGTGTTGGAGGTCAGGGGTGGATGGGGTGTACGAGGTGGTAATTCCCGGACAAAACTGCTCAGCAATGGATGCTGACGTTGGGGTGGGATGTAGGATGAAGGGGTCTTGAAGGGACGTGGAGATGCATGAGAGGGAACAGACGATGGAGGGTCTTCCATGCCGAAGCCGTGGTGTCTACGCAGTCCTGGAGGAACAGAGTAGCCATGAGGAGAGTGCTGGCCCAGTCCAGCAGAAACGTGGCTTGGAAGCTGAGAAAACTGTCCAGAGTAGTGGTGATGGTGGTGAGGATGGTGGTGGTGGCACTTGGGGCTGTCGTCTAACATGGGGTCAGGGGAGAAAGAGTCTGAGCTGACGCTGCCCTCACTGCTACAGTCTGAAAGCAGTGAACCAGCTCGCAGATCAGCTGGAAAGAAGCATTCAGGAGTCTGGGGAACCACGAGACTGAGGCTTGAGTAGGTTTTCACCAGAGAACGATAGCCTAACTCTGGAGACTCACATCTGTGGTAGGATTCAGCCTGTCTTGGTCCTGAGGCTCCAGCAGCCCTGAAGCTGCTTCCAATGCTTCCTCCAGGGAGCTCGCAGCGGTCCAGACGTCCGAATGATGACGGAGGTCCGCCTGGAGCAGGATGGCCCACAGTGCTACTGCTGCCACTGCTGCCGCTTCCCCTCCGTCCTTCAGCTTTGGAATGGACCTGAAGTCGGTCCTCCATGAGATCAGTGAAGGAGCTCCGAGGACTCTGATTTGACAGTTTATTTCCAACGCTCCGACTTGCCTCAGCTTCAACCGTTTCTTCTGATTTACCGCTTTGGCTCTTCGCCATCAAGGCATTTTCCAACAAGCCTCTGGAAGCTACTGATGAACTTTTGGCACTGGCACGGAGTTCATCAGCCACAGACCGCTGGGGTTGGCTGCCTCTTTCAGGATGGTAGAACTTACACTTGTGGCCATATGTGCACTTTTTCCCTAATGGACGAAAAAAAATCGTATTATTGTGATTGAATTAAATTCTTTTCTAACATCTTGGCCAGACGTCAAGATGTTAGACAGATAAAAACACAACCTTGTGTATAAAACCAGTGCAGTGTTAAAAGAAGTAGAAAGAGCATTTAAAGTTATAAAGGGCAGTTCAAAGAAAGCAAAACTAATCAAATCAAGAAAAGCTCTCTGATAAAAGTGTGCATACTGGTGCATGAGGTATTTAAAGGTCAGAGATATAACCAGGAGAGAGGCCATTTTTCTTTTCTTTCCTTTTTTGGAAATGACTAAAACAAAATCTACATAAAAAAACGCAATTTGTGGCACAAACACCCTCAGCAATCACTCCTTTTTAGAATAGATGGACTTTTTTTTAAATCTATTACAGTTCTTGTGCTACACTGGGAAGAACAGTCAGCGTCTATATTACCATAAGGACACGCCTGCTTTCGGTGTTCAGGAATAATAGGCCTCTTCCTCAGAAAGTTCTCCAGACTCGGTCCGTGGCGTCCCAGTGGGTCATCTGGTGGCATGAATCTGAATGCACAATTTATAGATAAAAATTAGATCCAAATTGTATTTTTTTACTTTATTTTTTTAATCCTGCCTTGTCAAGGACGCTGCAACTCTGACAGCTCCAGCAGAGACTGCATCAAGGATGGTCTGTAGTGATCTTGTATTTTCAGTTTTGTTGTACCAGACAGAATGCAGATTGATCCAGATTCTTTACAGTTTGTATAAACTGCAAGAAAAATAATAGTATTACACATAACAAACTGATCTTTTCTGAGGAAAACTCACATGCATACATATTTGGCACCCACGAACAATCCTGTTCCAACAGAGCAACACAAGTAACAACTCATATACCGAAGAAGATAGCATCTATTTTGATGTTTTCAGACGTAATTTGATCAGCGGTGCAAAAGTGAAGAGAAGACCTTAAATTATTCACCTGCAAAATGACTTGTCCAAACTTTAATGGGCTACAGATTTGGTTTCAAAGTATTTTGCAAAAGCTCTTTATTGTTTGTGGCACACTTTGGATGCTGCAGACAAAAAAAATCTTATTTTCTTTGGCAGATGCTTTTTATGTTAATGGCTAATGCACAGCAGTAACTGTTTTTAATGCACAAATGATTTTATAAAATGTGATAACAAAAATGCATTAAGGTCAATATTTTGTCAAATAAATTCATTTGTGATGTTTTCTTTTCCGCTCTTTAACACAATAAGCCTCTACCTTTGGTTTGGAATGAGTTGCTTACTTGTCATTTACAAACGAGTACATCAGCAGACGTTCGTCTATGAATTTCTTCCACTCTGGCTTCTCATTGGCCAGGTCCCGGTAGTTGTCATTGGAAACAATTATGCCATCCGACTCATAGGCCAGTTTGACAATGAATCTGTCATCGTAGCAAACCACACGGCGTCCCTGCACACGACGAGATGGAGTGAAAACCAGGATCTTCTCTTTTTCTAGTCGACGGAGGATCTCTTGGTCTGAACAAGCACAGGGGACACAGTTGAAAGTTTTTAAATCTTCTGTTTATTATTAAAGAAGATGAGAGATTCCACCTAAACCAGAGGATTAAAGTGCATCCTTTTGGTTGTTTACAGCATCAGTTCATTGTGACGTCAGCCGTTCAAGCTACTGGAGCTGTTACCTGTGATAAGAGCATCAGGACGCGACTGCTCCTTCCTCCAGGCAGGAACAAAAACTGTGATGTCACGATGACCTCGCTCCAAGAACCAATCAACTGCCAGCTGGATGCCTTGGCAGGAGAACACTTCCTTATTTCCATGACTGCATGAGCAGAAAGAAATGTTTGGGGCACAATCAGTGATGCAAATGTCAACAGAAGGAAAGCCCCACAGACAAAATAACACAATGATGCCAGTTCCATCAGCCTGCAGTTCTACATAATGTCTAACTTAGCTTCTGTAAGTTGCGCTGAAATACTATTTTGTCACAAGAGATGCAAGTGAATAGTCACTATTTTCTGTCTCTACTTTGTATACTTTTTTGTTTTGGTGAAGCATCAGTACAGTCATCAATAAAATGTGGCTACATAAGTTTGTCACTTCTCTTCCTCACCTCATGGCTACGTTGCTTCCATCCACAACAACAGGCCGAAGGTTTTCTTTGTCTTCCAGCAGCTTGGATGGACACAGTAGCCGACAGGAGTCCAGAGAAGAGTTGGAGGTGGAGGAGCAGCTCAAAGAGGACGACAAAGATGAGGAGGGAGACTGGGAGACAATCGGACCTCCTTGCTGCTCCATCTCTGTCTTGGTTCCCAGTTTGACTAGCTCTCCCAGTATGTCATTGATGAGTGCGCCAGGGCCCAGTTTCCTCAGGACCAGCAGCACAAGGTCCTCAGAATAGCCAAGCTTGAGAGCAAACTCTAATTTGGTGCGGCAGTCTGTGACGGGGTCAGTGGGAGCTAATGCTTCTGGCTGTGCGGGGTCTCCAGAGGGCTGGTTTGGTGCCAGGTCCAGCCTGACTGGCTGACAGACCGAAGAGGACTCTCTGAGGAGGTCAGGCTGATCTTTAGATTCAGTCTGGAGCCGTTCATCTTCACTGTCAGAGATGGCGCTTGCCTCTGAAAGGTTGCTGCAACTGCTGCTGCTGTAGCTTGAATGAGTGCTAAAACTAGTGCCAGTGCTGCCAATACTGTTACTGCTGTTATTTGAGGCACCAGCTCTGACCTGTAAGACTTCTATATTCTCAGCTCCTGTTGCAAAGCTTGGGCCAGCCTGCCGCTCAGCACCTTCCACATGGAGGTAGTCCAGATCCAGCCCCAGGCTGAGGATGTGGCCTGTTCCATCGTCCAGATGGTCCTTCAGGCCCATGAAGCCGTCTCATACATCCAGCTCCACGCCCTCCGTCGCCTCCCAGGCACCGGACCGACCCCACTGTTACTGCTGATTAGCAACTGCTCTCTGACTGGTCCTGGGAGTGAAGCTGGAAGGAAACACAAGAAGCAACTGGTTAAATTCCTGAGGACTCAGTGAAAGTTGGCAAATTCATTTGAATTTTGAATGTGCAAGAATAGGTTGAGTCTTTGAAGTTTTAATTTATATATGGACAGAATCAATGAATTGTTTGCTGTATAAATCAAAAACAGCCTGTAAGTCTTGATTAATTTTACGTGGTTTTGCCATGTGGTGTATATCTGGATATCTGGAGTATGGAAACATACAAGTTGTACAGTTATGAACAACATCAGCATGTTATCTGATGGTGGTCTGGTTCAGTCTGTCATCAGATCTCAGCCATGTCCAAAAGTGTTAATAAAGCAAGTCTTGAACAGCTTACAGACAAGCTTCTCTTCAGCAAAGGCACAATAAGTAGTGGCATCAGTTTCCTTTATCTGGAAGGTTTCATGACAGGGTTCAAGGTCTTTTATTGGTCACACAGTTATACATGGTATAACACGCAGTGAAATGCGTTGTGTAGCTGTTCCACACCGAAACAATAAAAAGATAAATAAGAATAAGGAACAAAACACACAAGAAATAAGTATATGAATGTTTACATATATAGATATATATAAATTTTATATTTTAAACATTTATATATATATATATATATATAACAGTGCAAAAAGGGAATAAAACAAATAAAGAAAATAATAATACTATAACCATGTATGTATGTACAGGTGAAAAAGGGCAAAGTGACGGGTTTGATTGTTTATTGAGTCTATGGCTTCAGGTTCAGCAGGCGGACTGCCTGAGGGAAGAAACTCTTCCTCATCCTCTCTGTGTTTGCCTTCAGGCAGCGGTAACGTCATCCTGACGGCAGCAGAGAGAACAGTCTGTGGCTGGGGTGGGTCGGCTCACTAACAATCTTCCTGGCCTTTAACCTGCATCGTTTAGTTGGTAAATGTGCTGCAGGTTGGGGAGGGTGGTTCTGATGGTGCGCTCAGCCAAGCGGACCACCCTCCTCAGGGCCAAGAAGTCCTGCTGGGTGCTGCTGCCCATCCAGGTGGTGACAAAGTTTGCCTGCACTACCTGCTCTACCTGATCAGCCTGTTGACATGTGACAAGTCTTTAATATAAAGTCTTGTGATGGTTTTTGACGTTGTGTTTTATGAACAACGCTTTTAAGATTCAAATGAGCAAGCTGAAGACTGTAACCTCCTTTACCTGCTGATCCACCTGTACTGATTTGCATTTTAGCAGTGATGAGCTCAGCTGTCAAACATCAAGTAGACACGTGAGCTAAGAACAAGTACTGCATAAAATATGACCTTTTTCTTTTGTATCTTGTGTTCATATTTCCTTCATGCAAATGATGAACAACTTGACAGAAGTTTGGCATGTGCAGGCAAAATGTTTGTTTTTTTTTAAAGGCCTATAATTGGTAATAGGGCATGTACACAAAACAAACGTCGCTGTATGCAAATATATCATTATTGGCATGCTTCAGACCCATAAAATTAGATATTGTTGTGGCTTGTCTGAATTATTTAAGCTTAACAGACAGACTCCCTAGGTACTTTTGCATGTACTGACATCTCAGTGCATGCATAGTTGGGTCTGACATCGTTTGTTGCCCATGTTGTAATACATTGCCTCCAAGCTAAAATAAAGCAAACCCTTTCATCATGATGAAAGTACGAGCTGTGTCAAAAAAAAGTTCCAGGACTGGTGTCACAAAAGATATATTTCAAACCCAAACTACGAGTTTTCCCCTTCAGACCAGCACATCTACAAAGAGATCCTGTGGCTTTTCCTTTGTTCAGTGCATGAGAAGAGGCGAGAGTTGTGGGACAAGTCATGGCTTAGAAGAACATTGCTGTGTTGGAGCAACCTCTCTATTCACTCCACCTGGCTCCATGTGAATTTTTCCTCTTCCCCAAGCTCAAGGGGATCATCAAGGGGACCCATTTTGAAGACGTGGACGACGGCGCTGCGGGGGATCCACTCCTTCCAGGAGGGCATGGCGGCGTGGCAGAGAAGGCTGGGAAAGTGTGTTAGACTCCAGAGGGAAAACTTGTACTTTGTAGTTTTGTGGATTTGAAATATATCTTTTGTGACACCAATCCTGGAACTTTTCAGACACACCTTGTATATGCATGCAAAACACAAACTAGGTGCTTAGATTGGCAATGATCCAAGAGTAAGTAAGAAGCCTGACAGGACATTGATTGGATACATATTGTGTGATAACTCATTCCCTCTATGCTTTGGCATGTTAGCTGCAGCATAAATGCTGAACTTGTGCTATTAGTTCATAAGAGGGGACTTTTACATAACTGAAAAATAAACTTGTTTGACTGGAGGTATTGCCTCGGGCCCTCTAGTTCTTAAACTGAAGGATGAAGCAGATCTCATGTAATCTTTAGTGTAACAATAACCTCCAAGGAAACTTACTTGTAACTTGTCACACAAATCTTTAACCAAGAGTTCCACACAATGTGCTTCTTCCTCAAAATCTAGCTTAGTGCACATAAAACAAGAAGTTTAAGATAACTGAATGTACATATGACCATACCAGTCTCGAACAGTCTGGTTTGCAACTCATTATTTTTCTACAATAATGAAAAAATACACTCCGGCTTGCTTGTATTTTTTTTAACCAATCACAATTGTATACGATGAAGTTAAATTAACGGTGCCCCTTCAAAATAACAATGGAGGGGATTTTTTCGGTGGAACATTTGCATGCAAGGAGATGAGCACTGTCAATAAAATGGCTGGTTTAACAAAAAAAAAAAAAAAACTAGCAGGGCTACCTTCCTGCATGAGAAAAAATTGTTGGCAAAACCTGAAATTGTGTGGTAGATTGCCCTGTGGTTGTTGTTGGAGTGTGGGGTCAATGGGGTGGTTGTGTGAACAATAGCATGTAGACAGCAGAAGGGGAGGAGAAAGCTGCATGAAATGTGATGCCAATCGCAGGGTTATACCTACAATCTACATATGGTGAGTCAGAGATATTGTATATAAAAGATGAATTAAATGATAGTGATGTCACCAATTGGTTCATAGTCTACCACCTTGAACCTTGAGTTTGCTCCACCTTTCTCCTTTGAAATTGAATAAAACAAACAAAGCGTGGATCAGACTGAGAACTCAAGCACACAACGCACTGTGATATGTCAAGGAAGCCCCATCCTAAACGTATTCTGTAAAGTCTATTTCCCTAAGATGGGAGCATGGTTTACAAATGGAACAGCATACTGTATTCAAAAAGTTGTGAAATTAGTGATTGAGACGATGAACTCATAAGGAAATTTTTTACTGAGGTAACAGAACATGGGAAAAGCAGGGGAATTTTCTCATAGACTCCTATACAATCAGGCTTATTTTTACAACCAGAGGAACTGCCCCCTGCTGGCCACTAGAAAAATGCAGGTTTAGGTTCCATGTTGGCGTCACTTTACAGACTCTACATCTATTATGGTTTGAAACCTGGCCAGCGTTAGTCTCAAACATACTGAAACTAAATTTGAGGATGTTCTGTCGACATGCTTCAGTTTGTCAGATATTAAAGTGTGAATTTTAAAGATTAAACTAAAGTCTGTCTACAGCAATCGCTTCTCATGATTATTCACTTATAACAAAAAGACAAGAACAAATTGTGTCACTGATTCAAAACAGCCATTATTCACCAATATCATACATTCACAAAGCCTCAGCACCTGTCCCACCTACAGAGAAGGTAACAAGCAGCAGCAGGGGGAGTTTTGACCTGCAAACACCCAGAAATGTGCCAAAAAATACTCACTTTGTCTGAATTTAGCTTTTTTTTTTTCCTGGACAATACATTTATCGAGTTGTGTGCCATAATGTATTTGAAGATCAGACATTTTCTTACTTACAAAAGCATCCGACAGTGACAGTGTTACTTCAGTAATTTGTCCTATATGTGGAGTCAGTTGGCCAACATGCCTAATCTACAGCAATCCATCAAGCCTCAGTAAGATTATCCACCATAATATAAAGAATGCATGATCTGTTGTAACAGCAAAGTACAACAATCAGTTCCAACATGCTAAAACCACTCGTGTGCTCCTTTAAAAGGTCAGTACAGACCGATGTAATTTCAAACTACGGTATTTAAAGTTGTGCATTAAAAATACCTAACTATCAGAATGATGAGCCAATACAATACAACAAAGTCAATGTAAGGTTTTATGAGCCTTCCATGAAGGATTCTTGGTTCCTGCTTTGGTAGCAAATGAAAGAAACCCCCCTGATGGTCCTTAAAGGCTCAGTTTCTCCTCTGAGTGTGGCCGACTGGCTCCGCGGGGGTCCACAGATTGGTTGAAACAAAGACGGATCTGTTGTGATGGTGAATTGCTTAGTGACCCCGTTAAAAAAACAACATGTGTTCTTTTGCTCCCATTTCTCCAGCATATGAGGGACACACATGCATTAAACACGCATAATAAAACAACCAAACTTTGGGTTCCTTTAAAAATTCTCCATTCCTGGATCCTGTTCGTTTGATGCATGAATTTGCCTCAGAGCAACATCAGAGCAGATTGTCAAAAATGAACACAATGCGCTTTGGTAAACAGGAAAACATCTTCAAAGAGGGATTTACACAAAGGAACTGACAGTTAGAGATCAGTCATATGATAACTGATGCAAACGCAGCACCAATGATGACTGGTATGATGCTGACGGAGTAGTTAATTCTGACACCCACCACAAACAAATATCAGTATCAGTGTGTTTGTGTGAAGTGTTGTTTATCTGTGGAAATACCCTCGTAGGGTACTTCCAGGGCCTCAAACTGTTCCAAGGCCTTTGAGAAATATATCCAAATGCCTCAGCTATTTAAATAACTGAAACATGTTCTTTAACTTTTGCTCCTATAGGCGCAAATAAAAAGGTTTCAGTCAAACAAAAGTACTTTTTAGCAACTGCAGCACCAGAAAAATAGGTAAACAAAGCCTCAGAAAAGACAAAAACTAACTTTTATT